TTTGGTTTTTGAGACAAGGTCTTACTATGTAGAGACTGACCCAGAACTCACTATATAGCCCAGGCTGGTCTCGAACTCACAGTGATCCTCCTGCCTCAGCCTCCTGAGATTACAGGCATGCGCCACCATGCCTGGCCCCTCTTTCTGTTTTTGAGGCAAGATCTCACTGTGTAGTTCAAGCAGGTCTGAACTCACTATAGCCTCAAACCCTTAGCGGTTCTCCTGGTACTACATACAGTGCCACTGTATCTGGCTCATTCCTTTTTTTTTTTTAATTAAGAGATTTTAACTTGTATACATACATTTATAATGTATGAATGTACCCTTCTTGATTATTCTTTTCCTTGGTTCTCTCCTCCTTTTCTTCTCAATTCATGTAATCATGCAAATAGAACACACACAAATACAGGTTTTGTCAGTGTATATTTTACAAAAATGTGATTGTCATTGTATACACTTTTCTGACTCTTGCTTCTTTTCTTCAGCGATACTTGAGATCCACTATGTGGACTTTACAGGACCACCTTGTGGGACTCACTAAGTCTCTGAGTTGCCAGGCTAGGCTCGAACTTGCAAATCCCCCTGTCTCAGTCTTTTGGAGTGCTGGGTTGAGCCTGGGGCCTCACACATGATAGGTAAGTGTTCTATCTCTGAGCCCCAACTTCCTACAATTGTTCACATTTCTTCACAATCTGGACTTCAGTGGCATTAAGCAGGTAGCTAGAAACTGGGCACGGTGGGATTATTTACACCACAGAAATCTGTAAGCACTAAAAACCAGGACTTTTCCTATTTTAACTAGCACTCTCCTTGTTCCCTGTGAGTTTAAATCTAGGTTTAAATTTGTTTCTTTCTTTTTCCAGTACTGGGGAGAAGGGAGAATGACCAGCACAGTGACCTATACTTACGTACACACACGTGTGGTACTGTAGACCATGCACTAATGTTTTCTCCCTATGGGACATAAGAGTGGGTCAAAAGAATTCATGTTTTAAATTTCTAAAGATGTTGCCAAATTACAAATGATTGTAGAAATTTACATTCCTATAAGCACTGTGAAAACTGTTTTCTCTGATCCCTGTCAGCAATGGAAGTTGCTCTCATTTTAATTTTTGCTAGTTTGAAAGATGTAAAATAATACCTCATATTCTACTGTGCAGTTCTCTGAATATTAATAATTTTGAGCTTCTTTTCCTATGCATGTTGATCAGTTAAATATGCTTTTTTGTGAGATGGCTTTTGATAGCCTTTGCTCATTTTTTCAATTGAGTTGCTTCACTTTTGTCTACTTAAAAAACCTTTTTGTTTATTGTTGTTTTTAATTATCCATCTTTCCTATACAAATCTATTGTTTGTCTTTTGACTTTGCTTATTTATCTTTTGCCATACCAAAGTTTTTTTAATTGTTACTATGTAAAATATGTCATATTTTCTTTTATAGCTCCTGGATTTGAATCTTGGTTTACAAAGCAACCCCTCCCTCCCTGACTCTATTGAACATGTAGCCTCCTAAATTTTCAAGATTGTTATTATCTTATTTTTTACATTTGTCTTTAATCTGTATGGAGTCTATATTTTTATATGGTATAAAATAGGAGTCCAGTTTTATTTTCTTCCAGATGGAAGTTGTCTTGGCACCATTTATTAAATAACCCATTGTTTTTCATGGAATTGAAATACCAGCTATGTCATATAGTAAATCCTCTTATACATATTTGGTCTATTTCTGAGTTCTCCATTTATCCCACTGATCCATTTATCTATTCCCATGCCGATACCAAAGTGATTTAATTACAGTGCTTTTCATAGTACAGACAGAGGCCTGGGAAGACAAGTCTCGCTCTTCACTTTCCTTTTCACATCATTATTTGTCATTCTAAAGCATATGTCCTTCTCTAATGCTTGAGATTATTTTATTCAACTTTCCCTCCCAAGAAGAAGCTTTCTTGTTACCTGATTAGAATTGTATCGGATGTGTGCATTAATTTGGAAAAGCTGACGTATTTGTTAATGCTGTTTACCTTTGTCAGACACAGTGACTGAGGACTCACTTTGGGACAAGCTCTGGGGCTATGCCAGCGAAGAAGACCGACGTGGCCCTTGTCCATTGGGAGTCCCAACAATTTCGTTTATAAAAAGGCAGAAGCTTACAGGAGTGGATGCTGGCGTTCACGAGAGGGCGTCTACAATCCTCATGGCAGACGAGAAAGAGAAGAGCACAGTATCTCAGCAGTACAGTGGATCTGCATGTACACGTGGGTTACCACACAGCAGTGAAAAAGAATGGGCCATCAGTGCCCACAACAACAGATGGCCCTCATAGATGTGTTGGGTGTAAGAAAGTGGGCACGGCAGTACATCCCACTACATCCAAAACCCATCAACACTTAGGGTAGCTAATGTGGACGGGGTGGAATAGTGGCTACGTCGGAACGGCAGACACGCCTGGACCACTGACGAGCCGGTTGGGGCCGTGACCTGGCTGACAGGACACCACAACCTGTAAGTACTCATCCGGCCGTGCGTGTCCAGACCAGCCACTTGACTGCTTCTAAGGCAGACTTCAACCAAAACAGAAAAGAGTGAAAAGGAAGTTTACCCTCTCAAAGCTGCCTGCTTCCCCATTGGGGTGTGGAGGATGAGTGACCACCTGTGGGCCTTCGTCTGCCTTCTGCATCTCTGAAAAATTGAGTTCACCAGTGCCTTCTGTGCTGGGCTACCGCAGTCTTGAAGCTGGTGCAGCTCCTGATCACCTCATGATTTTCCAGCCCCCGGACCTTTAAAAAATTGATTTTAAAACGTCTCTTGATAGACTGCAGTGCAGTCTTATGAAGGGCAACAGATCTGACCCAGCCTGCTCTGGCTCCCTCTCCCCAACTGGTCAATAAGCAGCCTGGGTCTCTGTGCCTCATCCCCAAAAGAGTTATAAAGTTCAATAAGTGTCTGGAAAGCAAGCAAGACTCTGCCGTGCAATCTGGATCACCCGTACCAATTTGCTTTGCTCACCCACCGTAGTGGCTGGGCCTTATGCTTCCTAGGGGAAAATGAGCAGTTTGAATGCCTGCCCCTCCTTCTCTCTCTCCCTTCTCATCCGCTCTTCTTTGTTCTCCATCAGTGTGTTCCCTAATGTGGGGGCGCCTGGAATTGTGGCTCTTTGGGGAGAAAATTTAGAGTCAAAAACGTGGGCCCTTACGTGTTAACCCCCAGACTGAAACCATGGGATGTAGCCTGCAGCAGTCACAACAGGCAGATTACCATGTGGCGCTGCTGAATTGCAGTTATTTCATGGCATTTTGTATTTCTGCTCTCTAGGGTGGTGACTCACTGCTTTCCAGTTCAATGTGAGGATGTGTCCCACGGTGCTGACTGCGGATGCTCCTGGAGGACATTCCTAACGCACCACTCACCAAGTTATTAGAAATCCAACTCCAAACTCGTAATCCCCAAATAGCCTCTATTCTCTCAACTGCTGGTTTCCTTGCTTTGATTTTATGCACAGTAGTTCTCAACTCAAGGCCAAAAGTTCTACCCCATGCCGAGCCACTTTCAAAGGAGAACCAATATGCTAGGACTGGAGGGGGACTTGAATAGCGGCTAATTGTCAGTTTGTCTAGTGAAAAAAAGCATGCGGTCCCCCCTGAGCAGGCTGGTTATTTGTTAAAGTTTGCTGGGGTTTTGGAGCTCCTCTTGGTGAGGGGCGGCTCAGACTCAGCAGTTTTAATTATTAATCGGGTCAAAGGCTGATGACAGTTTTTCCTCTCTTCACGGGAGGGTCTTGAGAGTTCGCAGGAGGGGCTGTGAAGGCCCCTGTCCCGTGAGGGCTGGGAAGAAGGTAAGGCAGCAGAGGATTCAGGCTAGACCAGTCCTAAATTCTTCACGGTCCCTTGCCCTGCACATACTGTTGAAAAGCTTCTTAATCTGCCTGTGGGTTCATTTCAAGTGAATGTGGGTCTTTAACCTTCCAAGGGGTGGCGTTTTTCTGTGCTGAACACATTCCAGACTCGACAGTGAAAGCGTGTCCTTCCAAACTGGAGCGCAGGAAAGGAAGTGGCCGCTTCACCCGTGTCTCTTCTGCAGCACCGGCTTACTTGGGAAGGGAGCACTTTCCAAAGGCCTGAGGTCTTTTCCAGGTTGAGTGTGGAATGTCTCCAGATATGCCAACGCTGCGTTTATCCTGCCTCCTCACTTCTTTCCTCATCCCTGGGAGTCTCCCTTCTCCTTTTGGCCTGAGACCCGTTTGACATAATCCAGAAGGTCTTTTTTCCCATCTGCGGATTCTCCAGCCGTTCTAAACAACTCCAGCCAGCACTGCCCTCCACTCTTGTCGCTAGGCGGATTCCCCTGTTGCTGGTCCACCACTGCTTCTTCCAGGCTCAGAAAGAGGCACAGATTCCTGGTGACCCACTGAATCATCCACCTATCCATCTACATGCCAAAAAAAACCACCACCCATGTAGGTCTTAAACACCCGCTCCGTGTCCTGTGGACAGCAATTCCAAGTGGGAAGGAGTGGAATCCAGAGTGTCAGATGCAGAGGTGCCAGTGGTTACGGGGTGGCAAGCATGCTGCCTCCTGAGAGCTTTCTCTGGGGAGCAGCCAGGAACTTGATCATTTTCTCTGGCCCAAGGTCTGACCCTCAGCCTTATGGGTTCAGAAAACGTGTCTTATGTGCAACCAGAAACAGATCCTTTGACTTACTGGCAAAAGTATTAATTAAGCTTCAAAGACTGAATTTTTTGATTTGTAATGAGGAGTCTGTCACATGGATCTAAGAACATCCTGCAGATGGGGTGTGGTGGCACACACCTGATGTCCAAGCACTAGGGAGAATGAGGCAGGAGGATTGCTGTGAGTTCAAGACCAGCATGAACCACAGAAAGAGACTCTGTCTTGAAAAACAAAACACAACAAAAATCCTGAAGGTTTAGCCTTCCCTCTGTGGAGACAGTTATCTGGAGATGAAGTCACTGAAGAATAGTGGAGAATTTGCACGGACACCAGTTTGCACAGGAGCGGAGTGTATCTGTATATTCATGTCTGTTCTAATATCGTTACCATGTGCCCAACAAAATGCTAGGTTTACAAATGTAATTTTGTTAAACCTTTACATCAACCATGAGAGGGAGCTAAGAAATGCTTACCCTCATTTCACAGGAAAAGCAGTTCAGGTCGGATTCCTTAGTGGAGACGACCCAACTAATATGTGACAGAGGCAGGATTTGAACCCAAGGTCCATAGTTGGTCCAGTGGAGCCCAGTGGCCCTGCAATGGTGAGATGACGCATTAGATCAGAGCCAAGTTGGATAATGGACCCTGAGCTGCAGATACTTGGCCGGACGGGAATTTCCTCTAAATTCCCAACGGGACGTGTGGGGATGGAACTTTAGAAGTGGACGCTGGAGACATGCTGAGCGCACGCCTCTCCTCTTCTGGAGGGGTTCTGTGAAGGGCTCCTGGGTTGTGCTGGTTGGCCTGCAGTGAAGGTCAAGAGCGTTGAGGAGGCCTGGGGGGCGCTGCCTGAGGGGCTTGCTAGCACTGAGACCTCTGGGTGGGACTCCTGGCTTGGCTTCACCGTGTTGCCAGGCAGTCACCAAGCCCAGGGCACAACGTCCACGCAGATGAAGAAGCCCAGATAGCGGTGCAAGAAGAGAGAGAAGTAGCCTTGGGCAGAGATGGCCTGTGTGTGGATGGAGCGTGGTCGCCGGGCCGTGTAGGAAGCATGATGGAGGGACACCTTCCTCATTCAGCAGCCTGTGCAGGTCCCCAACCAGTTGTGATGTGGGAGCTGGGTCCAGACAGAGGCCTGGGTAGCAGATTCTGAAAGCCACTGAGAACTCATCAGGCACGGCAGGGGTGAACTTCCCCTGGGCTTGGAACGTGTGTGTGTGTGTGTGTGTGTGTGTGTTCGTGTTCCTTCTGATCCACGCCCTCAGGACTTGAGTGAGGAGCATGGAGGTTTTTCAACAAGTTCTACCTTTCCTCCCTTCTCTCCCTTCTTATTCTCTTATTCTTGCAACAAAATTTGGGGGGATTGGATGTGAGTCATTCTAGAGAAGGATCTGTGCTCTGTAAATTGTCCATTTCTGTGCTTTTGTAATTTTGGGTTTTGCTTTACCCCCCGTCTCCTAGTAAAATGCTTTGAACAATCTCAGCCTTGTCTGGATGCCAGAGGTTTGCCCACATCTGGGCCAAGACAACCAAGGGGTTCCAGGGCCTCTGGAAATCCAGCCTTGTAGGACCAGCAGCTGTCCCGGCTGGATTTGCAGGAAACAGCTGCTGGGGCCCGGGTGGAGAGAGGTGAAATCTTGAGAGGAAGAGGTTGAAAGAGAGACGGGACAGCTGCTGCTGCTGACTCCCCACCTGGGCTCTTCCATCTCAGAGGCCTGCTGCGGCTCTCAGGCTCTGGCTCGCCCATCTCTGGCTTTAAAAAGTCAACAATAGACCGATGCCTTGGGACTGTACCCGGGGCAGGGACAAAGTAGAAGTAGGGAGCAGACCTGAGCTCTCTTTTTGGAGGCTGTGTGGGGCTGAGATCTAATCAGGGTGCAAGGCGTTGAATTGAAATAGAACATTGGAGGGATTTGGGCCTCGTCTATAAGTTGAGCAAACTGAGTCTCAGATACCCTGTGGCCTGTGCCTGATCAAAGCCCCTCCCAACTTACTGGGGCATATAAGGATTTTTGGGGGATTGCATAAAACAAATTACACAACGTCACTTGACTAATTGCTAGCTGGCCCTTTGAAAGGAGTGGCTTAGGTTGAGGGGTGGCAGAGTTGCTCAGAAAGTTTGGGGGTTGCCTTGATTCCTGGGCAGCAGTGGTTAAATCTAAGTCTTGATTCCCTTGGTAACTTGATGGCTTAGTTTAGGCCTCAGGTTGCTGTTCCATGAACTGCCTTGAAATTTAATCACCCAAATTTATTTCCTAGAGTGTTTTTCACCTTCTCCTCCTCTACCCGGTTAGTCACCATCCTGTGACTTGACAGAGTGATTATTAAAGACCCCATGGCTCCGTCACTAGATTCAGGGGTGTTGGGAACTCTGGAGGCAGTTGTAACTTGGGTCACAGTTGGGTGGATTTTCTCCCAACTGGCTGTGAATCTTCCCGGAGGGTACCCTGGAGGTCTGGGACGGTAACATGGCAGCGCCTTCTGTTCCTTCTCTAGGAGAGGGTGCTTACTGGGCTCTTCTAGGGCTGCTGTTCCTGGACTGGGGATTGAGCTGTCCTTTGCCTGGGGCACGTCACAAACAGCTCCCAGCTTCAGTAACCCTTCTGGTGCCGTGGAGATACTGCAGGTTTTAAAAGGAGATGTGGAGTCCGGCACGCAAGCACACAACTGATGTGAGCCGCTTCTCTGCCAGCTGACAGGGCCCAGGCCTTCTTTCTGGGGTCTTGGAAGGGAAATTTTATTAGTCTAATTTGGACGCATTCTAACAAGATTTTATTTCAAGAAGGGTTCCATAAATTAGATATTTAGCTATCTCCCCTTCCAACCTAGACCTCCCAAGTAGGAGTTGCAGACCTACACAGAGATTGGTGCCTGGCAGGGAATATAAACACATAGCAAGCTGACAGATTCTAGGTGTGGTGTTCTGGCTTTTTGTTTGGTGTTTAGGTTTTTTGGAGATGAGGTCTTGCTATGTAGCCCAGGCTGGCTGTGAACTCAAGGTGATCCTCCAGCCTCAGTCTCCTGAGTGGTGGGATTACAGGCATGAGCCACCATGCCTGGACTGGTGTTCTTATTTTTGCAGCCTCCTTTCCCTCCCCTCAAGAATGGATATTCCTGAGTCTGGGACATAGCTCAGTGGTGCTGCTGCCTGCCTTGCAAGCGGAAGGTCTGCAGTTCAATCCCCAGTACAACAAACAAACAAAAAAACCAAAGAGAGAGAGAGAGAGAATGGGTATTCCTACTGTGTGTTTGGTTGGCCAGTGGAGGTAGCTGCATGTGCCTACTGCTTCCTGAAGACATGTTGGACCAGTTAAAGGTTATTCTGTAGAAAACACAACCAACAAGTCAAAAGATGAGTTTCCTGCTCTTAATAGATAATTTTTATTGGTTTTGCAATAAACGTATGAAATAGAAACAATAGCAATAAACTAGCTCAACAAGAAATCGAAAGGCACAGGCCCCCAAAGCCCTTCCTGCCTCTTCTTAATGAGCCTCTAATTTATAGGCTGACTATCAGGCCCACTTTTCTTTTTCTGAGCTTTGCAAACTTTTCCATCTTGGAGGCTGGGGGCTCCAGGGCTTGTGTGCTCGTTCCCATGGAGTTGCTGATATGAAAGCAAAGACACAGCAGTGCTAGGAAGGAGGAGGTGGCCTTGAGTCCGGTGGTGCGGGCCTGGATCCAGCCCTATCTCCTCTGATTCCAGGGACTTCCTCCTTCAGTTTAGTATTTGCCACCAGGGGTGGGAAGGGAGAAGAGCCCATGCTGAAACGGCCAAAGGCCAGAGTTCTGGAAAGCAGAGGCAGCACAAAAGGCATCTGGAGGCTTGGGCAGGGGTTTTCACCTTTACAACCGCTATCTTTTGGAACGAGGAGAATAACTTTGGCCCACGGTGCCATGTCTCTTCCCAGGACTCAGGATGGCGCAACAGCACCCAGGGAAAGGCGGGGACCTCAGACCTCCTTGCTGCCCTTTAGGAAGACAAGCTGGAGGCGCTGGGTCTCTGCTGGCAGCTTACTTCTGGGTTGTTGCAGGGTCCCTTGAGTGATAGCTCCAGTCGGAAGGGCTCAGCGCTCTTCTGAACATTTCCCCTGAGGCCCGCAGCCTGAGAACAGGTCATCTGTGTTCCTGATCACTCCTCAAAGAAGGTGCCACAACGGGAGGGTGAACACAAGGCCAGATGGCACCTCCACCCCCAGCCCCGGGACTGTGAGGCCCAGGGCCTGGATGGGTGGCAGCTGAGGCAGGCGGCACGGAGGGCCTTCCCTGGGGACACCGATGCTTGCTTCCCTCGGCCAGCTCGGCACGGCTCGGCACTCCAACATGCCCTGCTGTGGCCCCTTCTGGCCACATCCCAGGAGGTCGGAGCGTGGGGAATTCACAGCTGTGCCTCTCTCTCTGCTGTTCTTTTCCCTCTCAGCCCACTTCCCTTCCTTGGTGGGCTTGGGGGAAGAGTGCTGACTCTGCAAGCCTCAGCCCCTGAAAGGCACCATCTATGGAGGACACAGGACTGTGAGCTGCAAACTGTCTCGACTTTGTTACCTCCTGGCAGGTCTTTAGAGTTTGGGGAAACCGCTGAGCGGTACAAATCACGGTGGCTGGTAAAGTCCCCCTCGCTGCTGATGGGCTGCCTGACTCATATCCATTTCCCTGGCAAAAAAATAAGTTTTTGTTATTGCTGGCTTGGCAGAAGCACGGAAGAGCACGCAAGGATCTACTGCCCTATGCATCACTGGCCAAATTGCCTGCGAAATCCCAGCTCTAGAACTTTTTTCATCGTGGCCTGTGATGTATGGAGCAGAGTGGCAGCTCCATTTCCCGGCATGGGCTCAGTGAGGACGCTGGCACCTGGCAAGGCAGCTCTGTTTGCTGCTCCCAGTGAAGGTGGCCTCGCCCAGCCCTTCCCTCTGCTTGGCCCTTGTTACCCTCACTCCTTGTCTTTCCCATCCCCCATCTGCTCATCAGCCCCTCCCTGCCTCCACCCAGCAGAGCCATAGCTGGAGAATCCGGAGGAGGCCCGCAGTGTCATTTCCCTGTCACTCTGCAGACGACTCCACACTAATGTTCTTTTAATGCTGTGATGCTGCACTAATTAATAAGCATCCTGCACGGAGGCCTTTCCTCGCCTCTCCCCTCCTCCCTCGCCACCCTCCCCACCAGCCCTCCCGAGAAGGCCTCCTGACATCCTGGCATCTGCAGCAGAGAAGGGATTTCACTCCTCTACCTGGGCTGCCCTATATTGCTATGAGAGATAACTGTATACGAACCAATAATCTAGCCTGACAATCCAATTTACTGACCAATAGCGCACAATCCACCATGTCATCGGCTGTGGGGAGGCCCATAAATTAGTTCCTAGTAATTTATTCTGATCAATAGAATGGGCAAAGTCACTTGTCTCTTTAATCAAAGGCCCTCTCAGAGATGTCAGCACAGGCAGCTGGGTAGGGGAGAGGCTCTGAGAGCGGGGAGGCGGTGGGTGGTGGCACTGCACCCCACACCCTGGCCTCCAGGATCCAGCAGAAGCCTCCCAGGCCCTCAGTCCAGGACGCCTGTGCTTCCTTTTGTCACCCAAGCGTGAGCATTGGCCTTCAAGCAGCACAAGGCAGGAGCGATCCCGTCGGCTCACAAGAGGTGGCGTCAAGGGCGCTCCACTCCGGCCTCCGCAGTGGCTCATCCTTCCGAATGCTCAGGGTCTTCCTTATTCCCAGGTCACAGGGTCCCCTTGTGCCTGTGCTTCTGTGGAGGGCAGGCTCCGCCTGTGGGAACCTGAAAGGAGTGTGCATCTGGGGCGTAGGGAATTTGGAGGCGGCTCCTGAGAGGGGCCCTCCATAAAGAGCTCCCAGGCCTTGCATCTGTGGAGGAAGGTCCACATTGGTGAGGTCCGCAGCACCCCCTGTCTGCCTTATCTGCTCTAAGGGAGGTGCCACTGACCCCTGGCCCAGCGGTTGCCACAGTGTCACACATTCTCCTGCGTTTTTACCCAGAGACTTCACCTGACCTGATGATAACTTTTGTTTCCTCTCCTCAGCCTCCCTAGCTTGTTCCACCACCCTCCCTCGGGAGACCCAGCAACTTTCTGGCTGTGAGACTCAGACAAATTGCTTACCTCCCTGACTCAGTTTTCCCCTGTGTAAGGTGGAACTAATGATAGTACCTACTTTATAGGGCATTAAGGAGATTCAGTACATTTGCTGTATGCTCTGTGATAAATTCACACGAAATTAGATAAATAAATGCTACATAGCACACTTGGAACAGTACCTGTCACATCATGGGGCTGTATTAGTGTTTGTTAGCATAAACACTCAGATCGAGGAAATGTTGATGGGATCTCTGAGGTGGCCTTGAGATGCTCTGCTTCCTGAAAACTTCAGCTGTTCCCCAACCATCTTCATCTTTTATTCTTCTTGTCCAAAATACACAGATGGAGGAAGAGCCCACTGATGCCATCTCTTTAAATGACAGAGAACTGGGGGTGGGGATTTAGCTTAGTGGTTCCAGCGCCTGCCTCACAAGCACAAGGACCCAAGTTCAATCCCCAGTACCAGACATAAATTAAAAAAATAATAATAAATGACAGAGAACTGCCAGAGGCCTTCTGAGCAAGGCTTTCCCTGCTCTGGGCCCTTGGGCAGAGCTCATAGTCGGGTGACCACGCCTAGGGAAATGGAGCTGTTAGCTCCAGGGTCAGGTAGGAGCAGAGCTCTGGAGAGGGAGGCACAGAGCTGGCTGCAGGAGTCTGGAACTTCGTCTCCCTCAGCTCTGCCAGTTTGGGCTGTGACCAAGACTTAGGTCTCAGCCCTGACTGCATTTGGGACAGGAAGAGTTTGAGCAAGCTGAGCTCTGGAGCCCTGCACTCTGACACTTGGAGTTCTGCGTGAGTCATCAGAGAAATGTACTAGTGTCTCCTTGGGGCCCTCAGTCCTTTGCCCCCACAGTAATCATCCAAAGAAAGACTCACAGGGCTGGGGATTTAGCTCAGTGGTTCCAGCGCCTGCCTCGCAAGTGCAAGGACCTGAGTTCGATCCCCAGTACTAAAAAAACAACAACAAAGGCTCGAGCACCAGCACCAGGGGAAGTCTCATTACAGTCACTAAACGGGACTGGTATCATTTGTGAAATAGGCCTGGGGCTAAGAACCACTTCACTTGGGATAGGGGTTTCTCTCCCTAATTGTGACTAGATTCCCAGTGTCTAGCAGAGGAGCTAGAAGGTCAAAGCCGGGACTGCAGATTCTGGAAACCTCTCGGGGCCTTTTTACTTATCCCATCAGCCTGTAGGGCTGCCTCAGGCCAGGGAAGCTCATGCTGTAGGTACAGAGGGGAAATGGTGCCGGAAATCCCACTTGAGATTCCAGGCTCCAGGGACTGTCCTTGGATCCCATCCTGGCTTCCTGTGACCCGTAACTGAGCCCCGGGTGTGCCTGTCAGAGTGAGCTGGGGTACACCTTATGTGTGCAGTGGGCCAGGTTGCAGGCCTGTGCTCAGCCTGGGGTGGCTGATGGGCAGGTGGACACAGCTCCTGGAGAGCAGCAATCTGGTACCCTCTGCTGACCCAGGCAGGAGACAGGTGGTCAACCAGGCAAGGGCCGCAGCCACGCAGAGGGGAAGAGGTGGGGTCCAGGACCACGCGGCAGCTTCCCTGTCCAAAGAACAGTTCCCCTCTCTGAATAGATCATTTTTATTGGTTTTGCAATAAGCTTATGAGACAGGAACAATCGCAATAAACAAACCGAACAAGAAATCGAAAAGATTGGCCCCGAAAGCCGTTACTGAGCCCTTCTCACCTTCTCTTAACGAGTCTCTAATTTATAACAAACCCAGCCCAGAACCACGGCCTCTGCCCCGGGTGTGGTGTGCGTGTCCCGGTGCCCGAGACCCGGCGCCAGAGGGCTGCCTCTGCGCGCCTCACCTCTGCCTGTCAGGGAGGGCGGGCGGCTCTGCAGGGCCATCTCCCCGGACTTGTCCCGTGCCCTCCCCGCGAGGCTGCTGACGCTGATGCGGGCACCATTTGCGTCAGACCTGCTGCCCAAGGCCTAGGAGAGGTGGGACAGCTGAGGCTCCCGAGCCCCCAAACTGCAAGCTTCTCAGGGACAGCGGAGGTCCCTGCTAGGGCCGAGCCTTCCGCTTCAGGTCAGAGGCTCGGCGCATGCAGCGCCCGGCCTCTCGCTCCTGGAAGCGAAGGCTGTGAGGAGCCCAGATGTTCTCTATCTGGCCAGGCTGGTGCGAGGCCGGCCCACAGCCTGCCTCCGGCCCAGCTCTCTGCTCCTGTAGTCCACAGCCTCCCAGGGCAGGCGAGCCAAAGGGGAGCTCGGCTATGTCTCAGCTGCAGACTGGGGCTCCTGGAGATGGGCTTGCGTTCTGTCCCTCCCTCCCTCCCTCCCTCCCTCTCTCTCTCTGGCCCTTTGTCATCAAGTGACCCTGAATCTTTTCTCCAAGGAAGCCCCCTGTCCTTCCACCTATTCCCCTGGGCTGCTTCTGGCAGCTGAGGACTGGGCAACCAGCCTGGGATGGGACCCAGGGTTCTCCAGGGCCTGGGGCCAGGGCCTCTTTGCTATGTCTGCAAATCCTCAGATGTGGCCACAAGATGGCAGTGCGAGGCTGCGGAAATGGCTCCGGTCCTGAGGCCGAGAGCTAAAGGAAGGGACTCAGAAGACCCTGGGTAAGGGGGACTGCACTTGGAAGACAGCCTGGGGCTTCTCCCTCTGTCCCTTCAGACTCCAGACAGTGCTCCAACTCTCCCTGCCTCAATTCTTTGCTCCTTGAAGAGTGGCTTCTTAGGCTCCCTGACACCCAGTCCGGGAAGGGTAGGGAGCAGCTGTCCCAGCTGGAAGCACCCTCGTTGGGAAGAGAGCTGCTGTGTACATGTATGTGCAAGCAGTGCGTGTGTGTGCGCGCGCGCGTGAGCGCGCGCATGCATGCACCTTCAGGCTATTGTAGGGGCACTCAGAGCTTGCTTGGGCCTGTCTGTTTGTATGACTTTTTGCAAGGATCTGTGTCTGCACAGCGAAATCCAGAGGCCCACGGAGAGGAAGTGGCTTGCGGGTCTGGAGCTGAACTCTCTGGAGTCCAGGCATGTGCGTTCCGGCCCGAGTGTTGCCAAGCCTGAGTGTCTGGCGCTCTTTTGTCTTAGGGTTTACTCCCAGTGGATCTTGGAAAGTTTTCCAAGTGGTGTGAGCCAGTGAGGTTCTGAAGAGACTCAGAGAGCAGGAAGGGAGGAAGGGCAGGGTGGCATCGCGTGGGTGCCCACTCCTACTGTCGACAGCTCAGTGTGCCTGAGCTCAGTAGGTCGTATGCCTGTGGTGGAGCCCTCGCTTCTGGTGTGTAGGCTGAGTGTGTGCGTGCACGCCGTGTGTGCGCATGTGTAAGTGACAATCTCCCTGGGGATGGCAGCAGGGGTCTGTGCTGCCCTGAGTGTGCTCCCTCAGCTGGGGCCCAGAGTGACGGGGTGTCAGTGACTGCCTCCTTGCCCCCCAGACTGTCCTCCCACAGCTCCTGGAGTGCCTGCGTCCCTGCCCAAGCAGCGGTGAGATCCTTTATTGGTGAGGCGCCAGCCCCCGTGTCGGGACTCAAGGCTCCTGTCGGTCCCATCCATCTTGCAGGGCCTCCTGGTATTAGCATTGATCTACAGGGGAAATGGAGAGCGCCACTGGGTTATTGCCCACCGCCCGCCTCCCCGGGTGTGATTGAGTGCACACAGAGAATTTTTGAAACATGGCCACCCTAACTTATTCTGTCTTCCTGCCAATAGCGTGGCATGGGTCCAAATTACGGGTCGATTCCAGCTGATCTTTTTATGTTAAACTGTGATGAAGTTGCTTCTATGTGGAGATGAGCATAGGACCTGGGCCCTCACTGAATGGGGAACTTTGGGACGTGAGAGGGACCTGGGGAGTGGACAAGGGCAGTGGTCGCAGGGCACAACTCTGGGTGGTGAGCGGGGCAGAGTGAACGGCAGGACCCCCAGCCTCTGCTCCTGCAGGCTTGCTGCCCTCAGGACCGCCCTGCACTAGGGACCCTCAGGGCCAACGTCCTTTCCAGCATCAGCCAGTCCTGTGCCCTCCCTGTTCCCTCCAGGGATAGAATTCCACTTCCCTCCTGCCCCCTCCACACACCTGCACCTTCAAACGGGTTTGTCTTTAACCTCCAAACAGGGGACTTTAATTAAAGAGACAGTGACCCCTTTTATGAGTTTGGTCGAGTTGGGTTTCAGGGCCGTTGTCGCTGGTGGCTCACATAACACTGACAAAAGCTTGCAGGCCTCAGGAGCCTGTCTCCCTCATAGACACTGGCAGGGGACAGAGTGGGGATGGGGGAAGGGGAGGGGGAGACACCCTTGGGTCAGGAGCCCTAAGACCACGTCGGTGAGGCTGGAGGTGGGTGCCGGCCTGCAGCACATATGGGGCACGACCTCACTCACCAGTGGAACAGGCAGGTGGACCCTAGGTGTGGAGGCGCCTGGCTTCCAAACAAGGTCTCCCGCAGGTCTCCAGGGCTTGCAGTCCACCTTGCCTGTTGGCTACGCTGTACAGCTGGAAGCAATTTTCAAGAGAAATAGACTGGATAGGACTCACTGCAAGAACTGTCGATGTGTTTTACTCACATGTTTAAAGGGAAAGCAATTTTAGGATAAAACATGATTGCTAATAACTATAATAACACCACTCAACATACAGCACGAAACACAAATCCCGTCCTCTGTCTGGAGTTACAAATGCTGTACAGCCCTCACTGTGCTTGAAAGGGAGCTGCCCCTCCACACTCAAGAGCCAAAGACACTCCATCTACCACACAGACCCCAAGTGTAGACAGCTCTTGGACTAGTGTTATAGGTCTGAAGAGCACTTACCTTTTGTAACCACCCCTTAACTGTTGATTTTTAACCACAGGCTTCTCTAGGTCCTGTGAGGCCTGTTTGCTTGGCCTTTGATCTGGCTCTTTGATATCCTCTGTGAACGCTTTAAGCTGGAAAGGGCTGCCCAGTCTGCCATGCTTATTCATTCAACAAACATCGCAGACTATTGAAAGGAACCCGTGTGTCACTGATTACTCCTGGAAGGGTGGATTTTCTGAAAATGGGATATCCTCCCTTTAATTGGAAGTTGATAAATCATCAATCAACTTTGTGGAGAATGAATCCCCTAAATGGTAATTTGGGGTTGCTGTGATCAGGATTTAGGATTGAGCAAAAACTAGCAAATTTGTGTGGAGGCAAAACTCAAGGCTGGCACTGAGTGAAGAAGATTCTCAGGGGCTCCCCGCTCCTCAAACTCTGCGGCACTCACGGCTCCTGGTCCCGCCTGGTGATGCCTGTGTTTGGTGGAATGAGGACATCACGCGGATCCAGGCCTCCACACGAGGGGAAACCATGACGACCAAGCCGGCAGCACCCAGGGCTGGACATGCTCACGAGTGGATCTTCCCTCGCGTCCACAGGGTAGCATGGACCACACCACCCACAGAGAGGTCACAGCTCCTGCTCTGCTCTCTGGGGGAGGGACCT